ATTCTGATATCACAAAGTAAGAAGAAAGGCTCTTTGAGGTGTGTATCTGGTGAAGTGAGGATATTAGCATGGCATTATTTGGGTAGGTGTTTCAGGTATTTCACTTTGAAGAATCCTCCTGATATTTACCTGTGCATCCAAGCAGAAAAATCCTATTTTGAAGTTGGCACCTTTACCTCTAGGATGAATTTTAAATAAAAATTCCCAAACTTCCATGTGTCCCGCTCTCTACACCAAAACCCCCTATAAACAAACTCCCAAGCCAGCAAAATATAATAACAACTCTGCATTCTCATTGCCCCACAATGCCACCACTGGAAATTCAGCCATTTGTTCACATGGTATGTATTCATAGTCTGGTGGGGCGGGAAAGATTCTTCCTTTATCAAAGGCCCTTGTTTTATTTACCCTTTCATTTTGAAAAGAAAAAATGAGCAAAACATGTTTTTTATGAGTGTGTGTTTTTTTCCCTATTTTGTTTTGGTTTTGTGTTAAGAATGCTTTAACCACCAGCTGTGGGCTCCCTTTAGAGAGTCCAAAGTCCCTTAGAGCACCTTGCAAAAACAAAAATCTTCTCAAACACTACTGAAAATGGCCCCTCCCAGACTGCATGTATGCTCCCTTTTGCCTCCCACGATTTCTTGATATTTGTGCTATAGTGGATTTATCCCTCGTTCTATCTCTCTTTCTATGTTGTGGGTTGTTTTTTTTTTAATTTCTTTTCAGTGTTGATGCAAATTCCCTATTGTATTCCCGCTCTGTTCTAATCCAGTTTCCATATTCTCTGTGATGTCTTTCCTTATCCTCATTTCCTCATTTCCTTCCTCTGCTTTCCATCAGCCTCCAAAAAAGATTTGGGATTATACTCCTGGAGATTGCTCTATCCTTACTAGAGAGGATAGAAAGGTAATTGTGTCTCACGTACGTTGTACTACAGCATCTAGCGCGTATGTATGTGCGTATGTGGTTTTCTTTGTCTTTTTTTTGGTAGCATTGCTTGGGTTTTGTGTGCTTGTGAGTGATTTTTTTAATTGGGCTGGAGCTCATTAGCCTAACAATGAAGTAGCTAGTAAATTGATTTAATAAACAATTCTTAAAGCATAATCAGCCATAATTTGGAGTGGTGGTTTTGCTATCTTGACTTGCAATGATAATTATACTAACAGCATATTGCATATTATTACAGTGTCTTTTTTTTTTTTTACAGGTGGGTTTATAACTTTATGGTTTGTAGAATTAGATTCTAGCAGGCCTGTGCATCTCTTAATTTTGAATGTTAAATACCTAAAACTATTTTCTTTGTAATGATTGAAACATGATTAACTACTGAATTTCTGTGTATTGTCCATAGCATCTTTGTCTTTTTCAATTAAAAAGGCTGGCCTTTTTTTTTTTTTAATTCAAAATTAACATTCCTTTGTTTTCCCCTAACCCTAAGCATTATTTTTCCATTCTTCTTCTCCTTCTTTAACCAGACTGATCTAGAAAAAGATCTCTACCTCTACCAGACTGAGTTAGAGGCAGATTTAGAAAAAATGGAGAAGCTTTATAAAGCGCCACATAAAAAGCCACAGAAGGTATTTCCTATTCTTTTCATGCTGCCAATCCCCGTTTCCAAACTCTCCGCTCTAATCTATTCACTGCTGGATGATTATTAAATGAGGTTGGGATAAATAATGGTTCTGACCATTCTGACTGCATGGCTTGCTGTGTTGCTGTCAGAAATAATAGAATGTGATGCTAAGAATCCGGCTTGAAATCCATTTCAGATACAGTGATTTCCTCTCTCCCCCATTCCCTTTCAGCTGCCTCCCACCCCCCGTCCCCCTTCAGGATTTTGAGTTCAGGGTCTGCAAAAAGACCTTCTCTATTTTTCACATGAATAGGCAGCAGCAATCAGCTTAAAATTCTTGGTTGGCGTCACGTCATCATCTCGTGCCTTTCAAGCGTGTTGCCATCTACCCTCCCTTCATACAAGCCCTGCTCTCTGCTGGGAGCTCACGCATACCCAAGATTTGGATATTCCCAAGAGATTTTACACACTTCCATATGCTGCACCTTGCCATGGCCTTCTAGGGCAGGTCAGCTGCTGCTTTTTGAGGGTCTGCGGGACCTGAACCATGAAATGATACATTAATTTGGTAACACGCCATTTTTTCCTTTTTTTTTTTCCTGTTGATTTTTTTTTTTTTTGAAGCTGCGGCATTTCACCGGGACTTGAAAAAGCTCCTTTTTGAAACCCAAGATTTGCTTTTTTCTTCCTATATAGGAATCTTCAGGTAGATGAGGGGACACCAAACAGAGCATTTCTTCTAAAATTGCCTTCAGTTTTTAAAATAGTGTGTCTATGAAGTGTTAGATGGATTTAAAGCAAGCGGATAAGAACTGGCTTTTGCTATTGAACCTGTGCAGCTGGCATTGCTTCTCTTAAGTAAGGAAACTGAATGGAAACATTGCTTTTCTTGTTAGTGCTTTGACATTTGTTTGAATGCCAAGGAATGTTTTATGCTGCAGAAATGTAATATACCTTTAAAGCAAAAGTGGGCAGTGACTGGTTGGGGGAAAAGCTTGGGGAAATAATTATGAGCATGTGTCTCCTGGTCATGGCCCAGCTGGTTATCTCTTCTTGCTTTTGGCTTTATTCACAATGACTCATTTGCAGACAAAAGACTAGGCGCTGCAAAACGGCAGCTGTGCTAAAAACCTGTCACTGCCCTGAAGGAACTCAGGAAAATTGTTGCTTTTCTGCAAAGATATTGACAGCTTAAATTGCATTTAGACTTAAACCTCGATGTCTCCTAAAGGCTAATATTCAAGCAATAAATGGAAAACTGCCTAAGCAAACCTTTTTCTTTCTCCTCATGTGTAAGTATGTATCAATGACTCCTTTGTTTGAACTTTTGCAGAATACTCCTCTGGAAACTTCCACAGACCATTCTTCCTAGTAAGTTTTCCAGTTACTTTTGATGTCTTTTTTACAGAGAGTGTGTAGAACAGGGTTTAGGGCACTGGAAATGGGTTGGCTTTATTTTTTGGTGATGGATGTAGACAAAGCATATACCTTGAGAATTATATACATATGTTAGATGAGTCTAGGTATAATATCTGCGTTTTGGTCTTGAATGAATTTTTAAGTGATTACATGAGTTATTGCATTGCCTAGATAAGAATTGGTGATTGTGCTAGGCAGTGACTTTAAAAAAAAACACAAAGCATAAACAAGAAACCACAACAAACAGATCTTTAACTCCATCTTGATGAAGTTTGCAAATTGACTGTAACTTCATGCCAATAACTTTATTGTGTGGAATAAACAAAGTTTGTTTCTGTTAGACATTTATGATAAATTGTTAGATATTCCCATTTATGCACTCCAGACCAAAAGGCTGCAGTTGATGGAAGGCAGTAATTTTCCAGCATCCGTAAAAGGAGCAATGATAGCAGTAATGATATTTCTCAAAGATCTAATGTGGTACTGCTTTTCCAGAGGAATACATAATAAATAGTATACTCTGCCTAAATGAGTTTTACATGGAGTTAGTTTGTTTTAAAAGAGGAGCAGACACACACAAAGAAAAAAAAAATTCCAGAGCAAGATGCTGAGCTGTGCTGAGTTACTCGACCCCCGTAAGACACAACAGCTCTGTAGCTGTGTGGCTGTTTGAGCATTGCCTAGGTTGAAAAAGTGACAGTATTCCCTTTCTCTTTCACAATGCTTTTCACAAGCTTTTACTTGAGAGAGTAATTTGTGGGACCACATATGACCTGGTTTTCCCTGTCCAGAAATTAAAATCTTTGTGATCCAGACATTGTGTAATTCTGCCTCCGCAGCCAGCCCTCTGATGTGTTTGAAAGCTTTCTCTTTAGCCCACAAGTACATCTCTCCAAAATAAACAGATGCATGTACAATTTTATCCACAACAAGCAGATGTAACCACAAGCATTTCCACACTCACAAAAATCTGAATCCCTTCTGGACTTCAGGGTATAAATCAGCTTTCAGAATGTTTCCATGAATTGGCAAATGCCCTATTTTATTTTATTTTTTCCAACTTTCCAGCAGACATTCTTTGGCCCCAGAATAGCTTTCCGTGAGACTGCATCTTTTTCTGAAGAGCCTGGTTGGGCACAAGAATTGGTATCCTATGAGCTTAGCTTTTAGGAAAGCACTATCTCCCTGGTTGCTTAGCAAGTCTTTCGTACCTAGAAAGTACATTTATACCATGGCATTGTAGGTTATTTTTATTTTTTTAAGTGAGAAAACAGTGAAATCTAGAAATAAGATGTGAGGGCATACTTGTGCTTAGGTTCATGTCTGAGGAAAGGGGTATAAAATGTCCAGTCTTTAAAGGTCTAAGAAATTAAAATTATACTAATTTTATCAGCATTTTGTTTATTATATAGCTGTACAGTAGACCCAGAGTCCAGGATTTTTCATTCCTTATAGTGGAAGCCTGAGACAAAGCTGATCAAAACTGTGCACACCTTGGGATTTCTTTTGCATTTAAAACAGTAATGTCTATAGACTCATAGTGCTGCTTCTCTGCATGGTCCCTTAGTGATGGGTTTGAGGGATTGCTCTGGGAGTCTTGAACTATAGTGTTAACTGGGAGGCTGAACTGGTTGAGATGAACTGAACAGCTGTGCTTTATAACCGGGGACAGGCATGGCTAAGGTTTAAGGAGAGAGGACTGGGAACTGGAAGATACTTGTGTTACTTCTAGCTAGCCACAGAATTTCTTTGTGTCTGCGAAGAAATCATGCATCTGCTCTGTGACTCTGCTGTCTCATCTGAAAAATGGAGAAGGAGTGCTTTCCTGCCACCTGTTCTCTAGGGTACCCAGCTGGGAGAGTTCCCTCAGGTGGCAAATGCATTGTAGTGCCAAACCTAGAACATCATGGCAATGTATTAATAACATCTTCATTCAGTATCATTTCTTCATACAGTTTATTCTGCGTTCACAAGAATGGTTTTCTCTTACTTTGCATGAAGTTCTTAGCAAACAGAAGTGACCCACTGGTGTCTCTCCCCCTTTTTTGTATTTTCCAGCTCTACGTATTCACCTAACTACCATGCAGTGAAAAGGGAGTCAGAACCAGCCCTGGGGGACCCTGCTGGCTTGGAGAATGAAAGGCAGATTTACAAGAGTGTGCTGGAAGGTGGAGATATCCCATTCCAGGGGCTGAGTGGTCTCAAGCGACCTTCTAGCTCTGCTTCCACAAAAGGTAGGTGATCAGGGCACTAGCCTCTTCTCTATTCTGCACAGTGTCAAAAGCTGGGTGATACAGGGCAGACTCTGCTGCAGGGTTTAGAGGCCTAGTCAAGCCAGTTGGGGTTTCATCTGTCCTTCCTCTTTGCCATCCACAGTTTTCCCTCCTTTTTTCTCACAGCCCATGCTGGCCATTATTTTTCATGACACTTTTATCTGATCCAGGTTCCTTTTCCCAATGGAGACCAGCTCCCTTTGTCCGGCATCTCAGCCACACCCTCAAATTCTTCCCCGGTGCTGCTCAGGCTGGCCTTGGTATACATCTGTTCCCACTGCCTTGCCGTGCTAGACCCCTTCCCTGCCTATTCTGCTCTTCCTGCTCTGGTATCTTAGCAAGCCACACCATGTCTGCTGGTCTGGTTACCTTCCTGCAGCTGGCACCATGTACTTCACAGTCTCCTGCCTATGAAGGCTATGGAGAGAATGCATGGGACTCTGAACGAGCAATGTCCTGCAAGCTTTGAGACAGCAAGGCAGCAGAGACCACTGCATCTCCTTTCCTCTCCTCCCCACATCATGGGCTCTTTAGAATATTAGGACAAGGAAGAGCCTGGCTTCCATCAGGGAGCTGTGTTGGGAAATGTATCTCTGAGCCAACTTCAACCTAAAAATGGCTTGAGATAGGGAGAGCACTGGGGAAGGAATGTGTCGGGTTTCTAAACTGCTCTCCCTAAAAATAGTACATCAGACCAAAAACTTCTCTCTCTGCCTCCATCTTCCAGCTGTTTTTCAGCATTATGTCAGGACTGTGGTGCAGAGTCAAACGATCTGAACAAAAATAATCTGTTCAAACAGTTCTTGTTCCCCAAACTGCAACTGAACCTGAATGGTTATTTTGATATTTGAATTTGAACTAAAATTGGAAACAAAAATTGCAGTCTAAGCTGAACTCAGACTGGATCTGACTTGGAAAAAAAAAATATTATCTGATCTGACTCCTTGATTTTTAAAGGAAACATGGCCAACCACAGTTTCTGAAGGACACTCAGCTTATTCCTAGTATGGGGAATCTCTAAGAAGGCAGTTTATGGGCAAGGCCAGCTGATTTGGCCAGCTTAGGCTTACAGGGTCAGCCACTGATTGTCCTCTCCCTCCCAGAAATAAACTGTCTAGCAAGCACTGTGGTGGGGCCAATTAGGTGTAACAACAGGCTTGGTATTAAGCCATTTTTGCTGTGTTAGTGCCCCTGCATTCTTGCTGATGCCCTGATCCTGCACAAAGTTCAGCTGCCCTTTTCTATGGAACTTCCCTGGAAGTTTGTGATCCTTAGCACTTTGTAGGAGAGTACCTTCAAAGTGCTCCAGATCTGCTTCTGGCCAACCCTCTCATTTTAGAGACATTAGCAGCACTTCACCTACTCCTGTATGCGCGGCTTATTGTGCAGTTTACTCCTGCTTTTATTTACGTTTTGGAATTTTGTTTCTTTAAAGTGCATTTTCTGAAATCCAAGCATGTTCTTTCTCCTTTCTCAATAGCTTTCTGGCACTTAAGCTAACAGGTTGTGTTTATTTTATCCTGCATGCTTACCAGTGGATCGTAAAGGTGGGAATGCTCATATGACTGCACCCTCTTCAGTTAATAGCCGAACCTTTAACGCTAGTCATACCGGTATGTTAGGTCACGCATGTAAACATAAGAAGCCCTTATCAGCTGCAAAAGCCTGCATTACTGAAATCCTCCCTTCTAAATTCAAACCCAAGCTAGCAGCTCCAGCTGCTCTTGTGCAGGACAAGAAGGGTATTTTGCTATCTCATGAGAAAGCTCAAAGCTGCGAAAACCTTCGTAGCTCCATTGCTTTATTCGATACTAAAAAAGCTTTCATGGTAGACATAGGGGAAGGCATAGAAAACATGTTGATGAAGTCGAAGCAGGAGTATGCCATCAAATCTGGCAGTACCATGAGCCTGCAGGAGTATGGCACCAACTCTACAAAAGGCTACCTGTTTCCTGCCTCAAGGAAGAGTGGGATGGAATTTACAACACTGTATAAAGACATGCACCAGATCAACCGGTCCAGGATCCATTTGGGCACAGCCTCTTCCTGCAGTGTGAGGGATATTGCATCTCAATTTGAGAATGAAGCAAAGGACAGGCTGGAGCACAGCCTTAGTCGAGAGGATTCAGAGCAGATCCCCAAACACACTGTTTCCTCCCGTATCAGTGCATTTGAGCAGCTGATCCAGAGATCCCGGTCAATGCCCTCGCTTGACTTTTCCACTGGACAAACCAAATTCACCACTTCTCTCCAATCCAAAACTTGTCTGAGTTCTGCCTGCTCTGCAGAGTTTCTTCTGGATTTGCCAAAAGCACACCAGGAAGAAAAGGATGCTGCAAGCTTGGCAGATAAATCCTCCCACTCCTGCAGCAACGTGGAGGACACAGGTTCAGATGTCAGTGATGCCATCCCTATGGACACATTTTCAGCTTGCACAGATGAGATAGATCTCCTCTCAAATGCATCCAATGACAGCGGCAGCAGTAGCAGCAACCTCAATGGGCCTCAGAAACATAAAATCAGCAGATGCAAAGGCACATGCCCAGCTTCCTATACCAGGTTCACTACCATCCGAAGGCACGAGCAGCAGCAGCCCTCCAGGAACCTTGATTCCAAAGGGGATGTCTATGGAGACAGACACATGCTCCCCAGAAATGTCTACCTAATGAGTCCACTCCCCTTCCGACTGAAAAAGCCCTTCCAACACAAATCCTGCAGGACTCCACCCCCAGATTGCCCAGGAAGCTTGGCAGTGTCCAGCCCTGAGAACCCAGATGACCCCATACAGCTGCAGGGGAACATAGGAGACAAGAGTCAGTACTCCCAGCACCAACTGTGCTCCAGAAACAGGCCTCTTGTCCCAAGGCGCCTGTCTTCTTTTGACATTGTGGAGAGGCTTAGCTACTTCCCCACCACAGGATCTAGCCAAGATAGCTCCATGGGCCAGGCTGGCACTCCTGACTCCTTAAACAATGGGAACCCTGTTCCATATGCCCTCTGTCACAGCCTGGACACAAACAACAACCCACAAAACGAACTTGGGACGTACCTAGGAGGTGGCTTTTTGTGTTCTTTACCAGTGTCCCTTCATGTGTCATCTTGCTTTCCTTTCTCATCCCCTTCCACAACCCTTGCATTATTTACACCCCACCTTTGCATCCCCTGACTCTCTCTTTTTTTTCCCGAGTGTGTCTAATGTCCTTTGCGTGTCTTGCTGAGCATTTTTGTTCAGGACTTTTTAACAGCTGCACTTCTGAGAAACAATTTCCGCTGCTTTTCTAATGACAGCGGGTTCAGTTTGTCTCTCAAGCAACTCCAGGGATGCAAGAATCTCAATATGAGATATTTCATTTGCACACGTGGGATTATAAAACAAACCAAGATGATTTGTTTTAAGGAGCAGTTTCTCAAGGTCTAGTTGTGTGTGTGTGTGTGTGTGTGTATTAAACTTTTCTCAACAGTAAAATGCCAAATCATACTTGGATGGCAGCAAGTCTTTTCTTCACAAAGTCCTTCTATGTCTTTACTCTTTCTGTTATTTACTCCCTGGTTTTGGCTCTTTGTTCACAAGTACAGCCCAAAAGGGAAAAAAATGCAAATAGATAAATTATCAATTATCAACATCTGATTGGCAATTTGGTCAATGGCAATTGAGAATCCATACTGTTGTAATGGAAACAAATTATTTTAAAATATCTATTTTTTTTTTTCCTTTCTGGTGATGCTAGATAAATCCATCTGTATTCTAACTTCCTTATGTTGTTTCGAAGTAGATTCAGAATCACCAAGGCATTTTGCACCAGTTGATTACATGGAAACTCCAGAAGAAATTCTTCGTAGACGGCATGATGATAAAGAGGTAATGTCCTTTGTTGTGGCCTAATAACAATTTTAGCAGCTCCACGTAAAACAAGTGTAGAATTCAGCCTTATGTAAGGACAGCTTGTATGTCCATGGATATGTATATTGGAAGTTAGAGCAGCAAGCTGGAATGAATGTTTTCTAATTTTGATACTGTCTCTGACACTGATTTAATGTATAATGTGTAGTCCATTTTAGCTTCTGTTTAAAATGAACTTGATAGTTCTTGCAAATTGCACAAAATTATATATATATGTAAAAAGGTTGGAAATGTATGTGAGATGTGGTTAAACACCCCAATATTTGCAGAGAAGGATGAAATGGTTCTTCTTTAAGTGACTTACGGTTTTATTGTTCTCTGAGGAAGCCACTCGAGTTGGTATTAATCAAACTGGTGAGAACAGTGTATTTCTTGTAGTAGTCCTCAGGTTTTTGAACAGCAAATGTATGATATTTTAAGCTATCAGATAGTGTGAAGTTTCACCCCAGTGCAAACTAGAATTCTTTATGGCATCTTGAGTTGTTGGTGACAGCATGTAGCAGTCCTTTTTGAAATGGCTAGGCAACACTGGCACAAGCCAAAATAATAGGAAAGCCACAAACTTTTTAGCACTGAGTGTGTTCAAGCTGAATTAAAGAAATTATAAAGTGATTGATTTCCAAGAAGCTGTTAATTTTCACTGCTTGGGGGGAGGTTATATTTTTAGTGTTAATTTTCTGAGTTCAAACAATGCTTATGTATGCTTTGAAATATGGAAACACTTGCTCTTAATTCCTATGTGAAGAGTATATTTTTACTGTCTTCTCCCATGAAACAGTTAGTAATCCCCCCACTTCCAAAATTCAGCATGAAAACTCAAGTAAGAGCCAAATTCTGAATTCACTAAGACCTGCTAACTTCAAAAGAGTTAGCACTTCTGCCTACAGTCAGCCCCAAAAGGTGGAAGAATCCTTCTGCCCAGGTACTCAAGAATGCTCATTTCCATTAGTGTGTCAAAGGTTTCAGAACTTCAGAAAACCTTTTTGGGGTTTATTTATGTTATTTACAAAGTGTATTATATGAGTCCAAAGGAAGTATGGGAGAACCTGATACCTGGAGGTGGTTAGGCACTCTTCCAAGCTCCTTGCAAAGCTCAGGGGAATTTGATTCCTTGGAACTTACCTGCAGGGCTGATTCAAGTCTCTTGGAAGTCAATGAGAGAAACTCTTTGTTGGTTGAAGGGAGATTGGATCAGCTTTTAGCATTATCAGCAGTCTTCTTAGAGGCTCTCAGGACTTGACTAAAACTTAGAAAAACACCTCGTTGACTTCCATCAGCTCTGGATCAGATCCTCCGTATACACTGAATTTCAGTTTTGCCATAATGGTGATGTACTTTCTGTGGTTGCGAAATGAAAGGGTACTGTGTAGTTAGTAGAATCAGTATTTGATGTTGAACTGTAAAATCCCAGCTATTTTCTGGGACTTCAGCAATTTTATTTAAGTCACATTTATGGCAGCTTTTCAATGCCCTTAACTAGATTATTTACTGCCCATTTTATGCAATTTCATGGCAGAAACTTTTAGAGGACCAGAGACGGCTCAAACGTGAGCAAGAAGAAGCTGATATTGCAGCTAGAAGGCACACAGGGGTTATTCCAACGCATCATCAGTTTATCACTAATGAGCGATTTGGGGACCTCCTAAATGTAGACGATACAGCAAAGAGGAAATCTGGGTCAGAGGTCTGTTATAGTTACCTCAGTCTGCTGCTTGACCCAAAGCAATATTTGCCTCTCACAATGTGGTGCTTTAGGCCGACATTAGCTCTTCAGAGAATGTCGTTTCTTGTTTTTTTCCACCTTCCCTTTTCCCATTCTGGCTTCATTTAGATCTGCTTTGACTCTCGTGCCTGGTAAATTAATTGGTATGTCTATACCAAGCTGCATATGTTAAAGCATGCCTGCTGAGAATTGCTGGTGCACACCTGTGATGCATGCCTTTAAATATCAGCTACTCTTAGTGAATCAAAGGCGTTCTACATTTTCTGCATCATATTGCTACATTGCCTTCTTGTCTGTGCCCTACTTTTAGAAACTTCATGTCTTGTTGATCTTGGTCATGTGACACTCTCATAGGCTTTTTAGAAATAGATTGTTTCTTCTCCTATTGAAAAATGCTTAATGTCCTTCAGAAACAATTGGAAAAAATCCCACCATGTTTCACTGCATATGACTTGGTTGGTCTTTCTGAAAGAGATAAAGGAGGAGGTAGATGGTTTTCCCATGAGCCCAAGACACTTTTCCCAAGGACTGGATGCTAGTCCAGGTGTTCTGGCCAAATGGCATTTCCTGCCTTAGGGATTGTTGCTGGGGCTCTTCACAGCAGCTCCCAGAGGTTTCTCCAGAGGTGCTGCACTGCAGCAGCCATGATGGTCACTGTACTGAAGGGGTATGTTTGTCTGCTCTTTGTTCATGTAGTTTCAAAAGCTCTGGTGCCACATGGATGTGACTACTTCTTCTTTTATGCTGTATTGCTAAAATGACATTTAACTATTCTAAATATTTTCTGGCCCTTAGAAAATCAGCCAAGTGAATGAAGCGTTAAAGCTTAGGCCTGCTATCAGTGTCATTTTTGGCTTTATAGCCACTGAAGACATTTCTTTAGACGTGATTAATTTATTAGTATTTCCTCCTCACCTTTGTCTCTTTTCTACCAATTTATACAGAGTACTTGGCTCACATTGCATGATTCAGCAGGGCCAGGTAATAATGAGTAAGGACCACATCAATTAAAATCAGTAAAATATTTTTCTCCCAGCTAATAAATTCTGCTTTTCCATTCACACATCAAGGTAAATTTGGTCCTGGGGGCCCCAGTAGCTGTATTTACTGGAGCAGCTTTCATTCAGCAGGGTTTGTCACGTTTAAATGTTTGCTGCTGTTAAATCCATTTCCTGTAGAGCTTTTAATTACTGTTATGCCAGAAACTGACACTTTTTGCCCTAATGGGAGAGACCCACCAGCATATTTGGACTGTACTATCAGCTGTATGCAAGCTTGTAGCAGCAGAGCACCTGCATTCAAATTCCTTCCCAGACTAATGTTAGCTATAGAAGAGTTTGGGTGCTTTTTTTCAGAAGATGGTTGAAAACCTAATGATTTTTTTAATGTGTTGGCTTTTTTGATCTCCAGATGAGACCTGCTAGAGCCAAATTCGACTTTAAAGCACAGACACTAAAGTGAGTACAGTTTGTTCCTACTACTTTGAGTGTTCTTCCTCTGCCTTTTTCCCTAGAACACAGGACTTATGAAGGGCTGTGCAATTGGATATATGTTCTGGGGTGCCTTTCCAGCAACTCAAAGCAAGGTGTCCATAGTAAAGTGGGGAAAAGTAGTATCAATCTTGCAGGTTGCAATCTGTAAAGGACCTTTAGGAAAACTGCATCTGCACCCTGTGTGATTTTTGGGGTAAACCTGCCTTCTTCATTGGAACAAGTAAGCATTCTGCTCTGAGGGTGGGTGGAGCAATGGAAAAGCACTGTTGCTGATGTTCTTCCTTGTGAGCAGGATGGCTGGGCAAGACTTTTGTGTCACTGCCCTTGCTGGAGACAAAAGGGATTCCTCTATGTAACATCCCTGGTTGTGCTCCGATATAGGGACTGGAAGAACTTTATTAGTAGCTCACTGAGTAAATCAGCCATACAGACAGTCAGAAGAACACTGATATGAAGAACAGCAGCATCCTTTTCATATGTGCTAAGCATAGCCCAAAGTCAGCAAGGAATTTAAAAGGATGCTTTAAGCATGTAGGTGGGCCCTTGGCTCAGGATTTTCCTGATTCAGGACCTGTTAGGGTACAGAGTGGTCACTGCTTCCCTGACATCTGTGAATACACCAGCATATGTTTCTGGTGACATTGTTGTATCTCTGAGCCCTTTGTGTTCCCTCAAGTGAATCACACAGCACTTTTGTTCTTTTTTCACAACACTGCTGGGAAGAGGAGGCCTGGAAGGCCTTTCCCTCTGCACAAGCATGGAGAAGCTCTCATTTTAGCGTTGCTAGGGAGGGAAGAAATAAGAGAATTCAGTGAAGGACCGGCTGTTTTTCTTCTGTGCCAATGTCCTGGAAATATTTTTGTTATATGTTCTATAGGTGATTATTTGTAATAATTTACACAGCAGCATCCTGTAATAAAACTGAGACACATGTAAGGTGGGACTGTTGTAATCCATTGAGCAGAATATATCAAGGTGTGAGACAAAAGCAAAGGAGAGCTTGTGAAAATCATCTCAGGAAAGGCTGGGTTGGTTGTGTTCCTGTGGGAACCCAAGTAGTAGGTTTACCAGCCTAGTACAAGCTGCCCAAAGTAGGAGCTCCTCAAGGTGCAGACGATCTGCACTGAAGGCTGTAGATCAAAATCCCAATTGTTAGCCCAGGTGAGGTCAGTGGTTGCACAACCACAGGCTGACCGAACTGTAATGTTGCAGGATCAACATTGGTGTGTGAGGGGGTTCATCTAATCACCAAACTAGCTTTCATTAAAATCATGTATCTCTTTGGAAGGGTCTTGTGACATGGCCTGTTTCAAAACAGGAATTGAGCACTGCTTACTGCATCCAACACGGAAAGCAGCCAGTGGCATCTTTTTCTTGAGTCTGACCCCATTGCTGCTGGAGGATATGTGGTTAGGTAGGCCCTCATAGGCCAGATCTTTTGACAGGGTGCCCAAAGCACAAAACAGTCCCTGCACATCGTGTTGTAAACAGGGTGGTTCTCAACATGTAGCTTTCACTTCAGGTGGAGAATGATTTGTATCAACAGGACTGATGCAGGCCTTGGTACCTAGAGGTTGCTGGACAGGAAAAGAACTCCTCTGTTCTTCAGTGAAGTGCTGATGGAATGCTTGTGTTGTTAACAGGGAACTTCCTCTGCAAAAAGGAGATATTGTTTACATTTACAAGCAGATTGACCAGAACTGGTATGAAGGCGAACACCATGGCAGAGTTGGCATCTTCCCACGATCATACATAGAGGTAGCTGCTTTCCTTGCAGGTGTTCTCTTTGCACACTCCCTTTCTACTAGTGATGAGTTTATAGGCTTTTTGTGTGTGACTCATCTGATTCTGTTTGTTGTTCATTTTAGCTCCTCCCACCAGCTGAGAAAGCCCAGCCCAAAAAGCCATTGCCATTGCAAGTATTGGAGTATGGAGATGCCATTGCTAAGTTCAACTTCAATGGGGATACCCAAGTGGAAATGTCCTTCAGAAAGGTAGGACTTCTGTTGTGCTGATGAATTAAATCCAGACAAATGCTGAAGTTTTTTTAACACTAGAAACTTGCCATTTCCAAATACAAAGCTCCAATAAGATGGACTCTGTATTCAGGAAGAATTCCTTCTTATCTGTGGTTTTACTCCACAATTGCTATGTAGTGCGTTGCAGTGAGAGTGTTGCAGGTAGGTTGACTCAGAAGTGCCAATTGCTTCCTTAGAGCTAGCTGAGAATATACTTAGAGCACAAGTGCTGGAAACCTGGCTCTGCAAGACAAATTAAATATTTGGTGATATGTCTCCAGTCTGATCCTTTCTGATGAAGATGCACACAATCACATGAGAATGGCAACATTGAAAAGAAGGAAACTGGGTTCACCTTTCTTCATACTACAGGGCAAATTATTGAGTGCAGGCAAGTGAGGTTCTGTGGTTTTACAGTGACTCACTAGACCTGACTGCAGAATGAAGGGATGGGAGTGGTTTGTGTAATGGCTGTTGATAGCAAAGTAGCAGCATTTCTCCATCTCAACCAGCTTTCCGTTTTGATACTCAGATTAGATCTTGTCTCTCTTCTAATTACACATGAAGGTGGGGCTCACAGTTTATATTAAGGATCTGAAAGTCACTCCATCTCTTAGCAAAACAGGAGAGAGCATAGAGAGACCTAGTTTAAACTGCAGACCTGTGCATTCTCCCTATACACCTCATACTCCTGAGAGTCTTGTGGTCAGCCAGAAACTGCTTGTTTCTTCTTTTTTCTAACTGGCTTTAGCAAGCAGGGACTTGAAACTGAGCATAACTGAATGAGCATAGTTTGAGTCTGCAGACTCCCCAAGTCAGCACCAGAAGATCTGCTTTTCCTTCTCTGAACTGAAAAATATCATTCCCACCCAGAGGTTAGGATTCGGATCACATAAATGGGAAGCAGGGGAGGCTGAGAGCCACCAACTGTTTTAAATCAGCTGAAGCAAAATGAAAGATGTAATTGCTTTGGAGTGATGAAGTATGTTCAAGTCAGGACTACGTTGCTGTTCCTTGCCATAGGGTGAAAGGATCATGTTGATTCGGCGAGTGGATGAGAACTGGTATGAAGGAAGAATCTCTGGCACCAGTCGCCAAGGCATCTTCCCTGTCACTTACGTGGAGGTGCTGAAACGGCCAGTGGTCAAGAATGCCATCGACTATCCTGACCCACCATCATCCCTCTCCCCTAACCGCAGCATGACAGCTTCACCACAGGTATTTGGACTAGATGCAGCCAATTACAGCACCTTGCAGAACAGGGGGATTTTGCCATTGCTGTGCAAGAAGCAATAGCTGAAAAAAGTTGTAGTTAAGACTAGTGTTTTGTGCAGTAGAAGCCATGTGCTCCTTGCACTATGCTGCAACTGCAGAAAAAGGTGATGTTTCTTTTACCAGAAAGGTTAATTAATGGGTCATTTGGGGATTTGGAGACTCAGCTTTTCATCTCTGATATGTAGCTTGAATTTAGGCCAGGTTGAAAGGGCTGCAGTTCAGTCATCTGAAGAATTTCAGTGCTAGAGATGGAATGAATTGGTGATTCTGCTCCTCTTGAGTGCTTCTTTACGCCTTACAGACCTCCACTGTGATGAATGCATTTTTTATTATGACTATTAAAAGGACATCGCAGACTGTTATGGTCTGTAGGAGTTATTATGTTGATCCCAGTCAGCTTGCATCAAGATGTATCCTTATTACTAAATGTCCTAGCTCACAACCAAGGTTTTGGGAGTTAGGGTCAGGAGAGTGGCCTTTATTATTTCAACCCATTGCTAAATGAACTAAAGTTTTGAGAGCAGGCCAGTCTGGAATCTTCCATTAATATTAGATTCCCTATAAACCATACTGCAGTTCAAACCAGAACTCAAAATGGCAGCAGTTAATTTTATGGGGATTTCAGAATGTTTGTCACAGAAACATATCAGGGAAGCAACAAGTCTCTAAATCCCTTTGTTTTGCTCTCATCCTGCAAATACTCATGCTTGATGATCAGCATATGTGACTGGGTCATGACTGTGAGGTTCTAGTGCATCTCCATCTCACCCACAGAACTGAAGCAAGGTCATTCTGAGGTCAAGACTGCAAGGGAAAAAGTGGAGAATTGGGACTGGGAGGAGGGGATATATGGTACAGGACAGATGGGAAAGACTGCCATGGTGCATGCCTGGTATCTGCCTGGATCTTCCCTAAAAGGAGTGCTTTCTATCCTTAGTCACTGTGTAAATAGAAAAGTCTTGTTGCTTGTTTTGGGTTCCCTGTCAAAGTGGACCTCAGCTGAGCTTTTCTGTTCGAGGTTGGCAGCCCTCCCCATAGCTGTAGCCTGTCTGCCACCAGCTCTCTGCAAGCTTTTCCCTTTGATGGAAGTGATTGTATCCACCTTCTTTTTGTTTCCTTTGCTGTTCTTTTGATTCCTTCCCTAGTAGATCAGCTCTCTCCCTTATTGGCAGAGGACTGAGAAACGCTCTGAGAAGTGCTAATGTAGGCATCTCACTGACATCACTGGTGGTAATAGCTAAGAGGAGAACTGGGTTATGTGTTCTGCCTTTATAAACATAGGACCTACTTTAGCCACCTAAAGTCCAGACATCCATAGCTGACTGTTTTGATCACTTTCTCTTCCACAGCTTCAGCAATACAAGTTTCTTGAGGATTAGGCATTGCTCAGGCTAGAGTTGGATAAAGTAAAAATTGATTGCATCAGTGAATTCTGACTGGGTGCACAGTGTGAGTAGTTGCTGGAGCTCCAACTATTACTGCCAGGCGGGTGAAATGCTATATGCTGCCATCATGGATGGTGGCTTCAGCTGCTTCCTAAGGGACCTAAGACATGTGGAAGACCTTAGACTTTATACCATAGGATGTTTTGTGTCTGGGGTCCTTGAAAAGGCTGGAGAATGATATTTGTAGCACAGATACAGATTGGACTCAGTGTTTGGAGCAGCTGTGGACACCATGTACTCCAACATGGTGCACCTGTCCATGGAAAACTTATGCACAATGCTTGGTCACAGATCTGCTCCTCTCCTCATTCACTCTCTCTCCTTTTACTTTTGCTCGATCGTTTTGTATTTTCCTTTACTATTTTTTTGTTCATTTCTTTCTTTTTCTCTCCTGCTTTTGTCTCCTTCAAGTCTCCCAGCTCTGAGCTGCTCCATACACCAACTCCTCCGCCTTTGCCTTTCACGCGCCGTGCCCTATCTCCAGAGGTGCAGGCGGTCACATCTGAGTGGATTGCTCTGACCGTGGGAGTGTCCCCCAGCCCCACTCCTGCTGTAACTCCTCCATTGCCTCCTCTGCCTGAAGCCTCCCTCTCTCACACTGACTATCTCTCGCCTTCAGCTGCAGCCAGTCCTTCCCCCTTGGTCAGCCTCCGCCATTCTTATCCCTCTGGCTCCTCAGCTCCCAGGTCCATTAAATCCCCAGTGCCCTCTTACTCCTCCAGACCTCAGTCCTCCACTCGCAGTTTCTATCAGGCCACTCCACAAAGCGAAGAAAAGTTTGGCTCCCTTCCTCCCAGTGTGAGCTTCTCTAACTCCCCTGGCTGGGCAGTGGAGAGCCCTGAAAGCTTCCTCACAGAGCAGCGTGACACCACTGGCAGCCAAGCCTGGCCCCAAAAGACTAGAGAAGGCAGCAGCACCCCCGAGCAGGGTGCTCAGGCTGTCCCCAAGGTCTCTGTTGAGCGCTGCCTGAAACCATCCCAACTAGACATGCGTGTGACCCCAGAAAAGAGATCTGTGGGTTCCTCTGAGGACAACCAGTTGTGTCAGGAGCTAATGGCTATTGTGCAGGGAGGTAAAACAGAGAAAAGAGGCGTGAGGAAAGGTGATCTGGGAAAGTTGCAAAGCGGGGAAAAGAAGGTACTTCTCCTGCATGTGTGTGTGCTGCTCTGAATCCCTAATTTTAACGAGTGTGTTGAAATCTGTGCTGCTCTGCTGGCCAGGCAGAGCCAGTGGCTGCCACATGTAATTTTTATGATCTTAAGACCTTTTTTCAGGGGTCACCAGTGGCATTCACTGGATAGCAGATCAAAAAGTTTTAGAAGAGGGCTCAGGAGCAGTGTAGTGAAAATTGTCTCAGAACAGTTAACACAGGACCGACTCAGTTGGGCACATCTAATGAGGTGATTGTCCCAGATAGTGGCTATTACCAGATGTGTCAGTTGAAAATACCACACAGGTCTCATGACCTCACTGTGTAGCAAAAAGGCAATTCCTTGCTATTCAGAGATTTTCCAGTGTGGAATGGATCATCGTTGGTGATAGGATTTATTTGTTCCTCCTAAAGCCAAGAACCAAAAAGCCTTGTAAATGTCAGCTTGGTTCCTGAGATCACAAAAGCTGTCCCTTCTTGTTCTTGGAGCCTGTGGTTTAGTGAACCTAAGGTTGGGATGTGCATGACTAAGTCAGGGAGGCTTTATTGTTATCTGTGCATTGGATGGAATTTATAATCTCTTTGCATTTCCAAAATGACATGAAAGGGTCTAGCCAAAAATGGCAATTAGACCTAGTGATATTTTTCCCCAGGAGTTCTTAGTTATATGCAGCTGTATGTTACAATGAGGGGAACCCTCCAGTAGCTTCTAGAACATATCTTCTGCTCCCAGTTTTGGTATAGCAGATCTGCCTTTCTTTGAAGCTCTCAGTTGATTTGAGGTCCATTGTGGGCTACAGCCAGCTAAAATACATAACAGCATCCTCATGCTGTGGAATTTTGGAGAGCTCAAAGTCATAGGATTTTGGGTGCACTGCGATAGCCCCTGTAACATACCCCACCTAGCCAATGTTAAGTAATGAGGAACTAGGATTTCTAAGATGACACGTTTCACACTGGGAATCTTGTGCAAGTTGATTTCTGCTTGAATCATAACCAGAAGTGTATTGAAAGCTGTCCTGTTTACCATCTGGATGTATTTTTAGCAGCATTTTTTACAGTCATAACCCGCATGTTTAAAACAGAATGAAGTGTTCAGCTCAGACAAACCAACTGGAAACTGCACTTGCCCTTGCATGGAGTTATGTTTTGCTGTGTGTGCATCAGATTTACTGGATAGTAGATGCTCTTATCACTAACAGTGATTGTGATAAGAGAGCGTATTCCAAGCTGACCAACTTTTCTTTTCTTCAAAAGACTGCAGACTCAAAAGCATTCTCTTCATCTGCTCCTCTCTCTTCTTCTGCCCTCTCTTCCTCTACTGTCACAACACAGCCACCTCCCAGACTTACACACAGAGTCAATAAGCCACAGGTAATCATCTTTGCTGATTACTCTTCCATTACTTGGAGTTGTTTCCATGCCATGCCATTGTTTTGTCGTATGCTTGTTTAGCCATTTATTGATTCCACAGGTGAGAAATTTCTCCTATGATTAAATTCAGAATTTTTATTGGAAAAAAAAAATCATTTAGAAGTACTTCCAGGCTGTGCAGAAGGCCAGGTGTGAGCAAAAGCTTCAGCCGGTGCAAATCTGCATAGCTCAAGTCTCGGTTTCTGCCGGTTTTTACTAGCTGAGGATCTGATTTGTGTTCCTCCAAAGGATGAGCCCAGGGCTTATTTAGTTCTGATCTTGAGCTACAGCTCAGTTGTGTTTATAAAGCAGTATTGGTGGCCTTTTTAGTAGGAATGATGTGGTGTGAGATACTTTGGTTCAGGTTTTTTTCTAACCACCTGGGAGTAAGGCATACACAACTTAGTACCCACAACATCAGGAACTTGTTAGAACTTTCTCAAGTAGGATTCAGAGGATCACAGCTCTATGCTGAGAGCTACACAAGTCTTTAAAGAGAGATGTAGTTGTCTGTGCACAACCGACTCAGCCTAAGCACTGTGTCGCCGGGATGTCCAGGGTCCTGGAACAAACAGAGCTTGCAGCTGCTGATGTCACGTCAGTCCTTCCAGGCAGCTTCCACGAGATGGCAGTATTTGAAATAGAAAGCTCACAAGCAGCGAAACTAATCGGTTTGTAGTGATGGGTATTGGGGAAGTAATCCTTGGCTGGATCAGTGAACCAGGCAGGTTGCCCATGCAGGATAAGTAAGAGAAGTAGCTGCCCACAGTACATGTTTTCTTGATCAATTTATGAGAGTGAGATACAGCTTTAACCCTGAAATATTCCCATTGCCTTTACTCACCTAATTTCCCTCTGATCGTGACCTTGCACAACTTTTTACTGAACAACCGCTTTCTGCTTCCCTTCGAGTTTCAATATGTGAATCCAATAGG